TCATCATTAAATCTGAATATTTGAGGTCAAAACTGAGATTCTGTTGATCGATAAAAACAGGCAATGTACTTCACAGTTATAACTGATTCAAGTCACCTGTGAAAATTTCTAACAGGACCGAATTACAGTCAGACGTATATAGGCAAGCCTTGCCATTAATGCATATGTAGGGCACTTTTGTCAGTCCCATGACGCCTGAATAGGCTCTTGCCTTCAAAATAGCAGATTTCACATACCTATTCTACATATCGAGCTACTGCAGCACGCAATTATCGCAAAACGTACATAAACATAGCTAACTTGCTGAAAGAAAAATGACACAAATATGAAATACGGAAAGAACAAGGCGCTAGTAAATCGCTGTAGAATATCGAACATTAGCTCTATCTCTGCATTCAAAACGTCAGTTTTTCGTGTTCTTCGAAAAAAAACACTCAATAGGTTGTCTTTTTGACAATAATTGTTAGAGAACCGACCGTCGAACTATATTTAGTAAGCGTAATTGTTCAGGCTTTCGTGTTTTGCAGACTCGACAAACCTAGTTAGCAACGAATCTAACAGTAACGAAACTTTAAGCCTTGGGACAAGCGGAACAGACAAAACAATTGAAAACTCGTTAAAGAGTAATGTGAGCTTTGCTAGTCAACAACGAGAGATTGGCAATATATACACGCCAGCAAGCTCCCGGCGTGACTGGATGAAAATCTAGACCTAACTTTTAAGGGTTTCATATCGTGTAATATTTGTTGCCTGCTCATTTTTTACCTAAGCTATCCTAACTGTGTAATCCCCTGTAGGTTTAATAGGCTGAACAAGAACGTAGCCTCGGACCCACCTAGCACCGCAACTGACTCCACAAAGACACCTTTGCGAGCAACAGTAAATAAACTAGTGCTCTAATTATTAATGCACCACCTTATAGGAACCAACAGCACGGTAACGAGGCTACTACCTCTGGAATAATTAGGCATAGAAGCCGTTAACTTTTTTTTTTCTGACACTTTCGTTCCGAATCGAGCTTCTGATAGGTCCTGTGTAGCTATAAGAGTCATCCTTCAATTGACGTTAATCATATCAGTTGTCTGCTCTCTTCGCGCAATCGAGAACATAGCAAACCATGTAATACGCTAACTCGCTCGATTGAAAGACATGATCCAGTATCATTGAGTGTAGGTGGCATTAGATACTCACAGAGCCGCTAGACACAAATAAGCGTCCTACGTTCGCCTTCTAACAAAGTATTGCTTTTTTCATGTACTGGACAATACTTCAGCAGTAACCAACTAGCTTTTCCTTAATCTGGAGATACTAAGTTCTCTGCTGGGATCAAACAGCCAGTGGTTACTAGCGCTTGACTACCCCATTGAGCGTATTCGGAAATTGCACATACTGTACGTGTAACGACACCAAACGAATATGCCTAATGATTTGCTACGCTGAATTGTTCTTATTATTATTATTGTTTTTGGTGCTGGCATTTTGTTAGACGCACAAACGGCATCAAGCAGGCACTTGAAAGCACACAGGCACTATGTTTAAGGACACCGTAGTCATTGTCGTTATGACGGTCCTAACCTTCGAAACAGGTTCGACTCGAGTCGTTGAACGGTGTGAACTTGCTCAGAAAGTTGCCAGACATACGCCGTACAAAGATGCGTGGCACGTCAAACAGTTTGTGTGTATAGTCGCCTATGTGTCTGGCTACAATACAAGCAAAGTGATCAGTCGGCAAAATCAGCAACAGTCGTATGGTATCTTCCAATTTCCATCGAAGTTCTACTGCCTGGAAAAGCCTCAGCGAGGTCGTGTTGGTGTGTGCCATCGCTTATGTGACGCGTTCAAAGATGACGACATTCGCGACGACGTAGAATGTGCCGGTATTGCAATGGCTATTTACGGATTTCGTTTCTGGAAAAACTGGTATAATAACTGCTTTTTAAATCCTAATATTAGTAGCTACATTAAAGACTGTGGAATCGATTCCTGAAAAAATCCAAACGAAAGCAAAGGGTCGCCTAACAATTGGAACGCTCTCTGCGATAGCTTCTGGTCTAAATGGATAGCCTAGTTCAAACAGTTTCTATAGACGACGATAATACTTCGACGATAATAATTAATGCAAAAAATTAATTTTTCACGTAAAATCCATCATCAATGAAACACTCCTATGTACGCGTCTGAGCCTAATACATGGCGGACAACGTTCAACGATTTCATGGAAAGTGTTCTATAGAAAATTACAGAGGTGACGGTATTTTTTAGCCTCCCGGATAAATTTGCTCGCTATCGAAAAATATATGATACAAAAAGCAATGTTTGCAGATACATTCGGATGCTTTGCCACGCCTCATAAATGTCAACGAAGTCAGCCTTTAAGTGCACTTAAGGCAACTACAAGTATCCGTATGAAGCTAACCCAGATTCAGCGCTGTAAAACATCCACACACAAAAATATAAACATGTCGGGACGCTGTTTTTGTAGGGTACGCTAAAAAGAAGAGAGCGTTTCCTTTATGTGCCGATTAGGGACCAAACTATGATAGCCATGTAGCATATTCCTAATGACAAAGCTTTTACAAATAAGGGTTTGTATGTATACATATACCTGTATATGTGGACCATGTCGACCACGGCTCGAGAAATATTTACATGTAGATAATTCACGTATGGCGCTGTTAGTTACTACACAGGTCGAGCGCCGGCAGTCCAACACATACAGCATTTGATACAAAGACATAAGCTATAGAGCGTTGAAGTTGTTCCGTCCGTTAACAGTTCTGAGGAACGATTTGGGTTATTGAGATCTTACGGATAGCTCCGCTATTATGACTGAGAAAAATACTAATCGGAAAGCAATCCCTTTGGCCATAGCATGACAAATGGATACACGGTTTCATACAGTTAGCATTTATTCAACGATCGACTTAAGCGAACTCGTATGCGTACATTATGACGTCGTGAAATAGAAAATAAAACATTGACCTTTTATTATATGGTTTAGTATTTATTTAGATATTAAAGGTGCGCAGCTGGCAATTTGGTTCAGTGTTCGTTACATTGATATGAAACGATAGCGATTCACTGAAACGTAGATACATATATCTATTGAAGATGAATTTTATCACAAAGCTAACGAGACATATCTAAATACTCTGAATGGCGGGTTTTCATATATCGTATATGTGCCAGTTTTAACAGGCAGGATCACGTCGTGTTTTATGAAATTCGGCCGTCATAAATTATATAATAATCTAGATGGAACGGGTTACGTTTTTGAGAACTCGTACATATGTGTATATTATACATATATATTGAGTGTTAGCTTTAAAGCGCAATATGGAGCATCATAATTTTGTGCGTGTAGACGACCCCCCGCGACCCAAGGATGGTTACTGAACTCAAAGATAATAATCTGTACAATGTCGTAATATTAACTGTTTTGATCGATTGCCCCGTGGTCGGCCAATATTCCAGCAAGACTGGCAGCGTAAAGTACCATAACTAACCTTCGACACCAGTTCGCTAATTTTTTTTTGACGTAAGTTCTTCTGGCTTCCTTTTTTTGTCTAGGCTCAGTGTCGGTGCCCGATACAATAGGAGATAAGACTTGCGGCACGTTGTTGACGAGCGGCCTATGTATACCGAGTAAGGAGTGCAGCGATATGCAGAATAATTTTGTCAAATCTTTGGTCAACTCAGTCCCGAGGTACCGAGTTGATCGTTCTACACACACGTTCCGCCATCGATGCCATTGTCATATAATCTAAACCAATTAAAGATCACAATGTGACAGAAAGCCCCTATAGATAAACGAAGCCCCAGCTGATCAGCAGTCAGTAAAATCAGTTACTTTAAATAAAAATCGTCGAAAGAACAATATATTTATTTAACTACGTCGTTTATACAGAACTCCGACCGACATCTCTAGAAACAGCTTGTGAGACACTCAAAGGGGCATGCATCAAATGACGTCATCCATACACGCTGGACTGCACACGGTTGTGCAGCACCCGTACGAGTGGAGATGTAGGTTTCCTATCAGTTGGGCTTTGTTTTGGTTATTTCGGTTGGAGTCACAGCGACGACTGCCTATGCGGTACAGCAAAGACTGGATAATTCATAAAAGCAGACTGCGCTAGCAGAAAGAAAGCAACCGGCACTGCTCGGACGGATCATTTCTAAACATGTTGATATGCTGCTATTTTTCCTCTCGTAGCAATAGGATCGTCGTAACGAGCACGCTAATCTAGAAATAGTGATAATGTCAAGTCGATATCAATCACTCGACGGTGTTCTTTTTTTTCTGTTCGATTATAGATAATAGTCAGCTACGTCCTCTCGTTATAGAGTACAGATCGTGCATTGCCTGGCAATGTCGATTTCGAAACAAACGTAAAATGACGGCTCAAAGCAAAGCGGCAGGCTTTGTTATATGAAGGAAACTCGATTTCGGCCAAAAGCCGTAACGTCGAAGTTGGGCCGACGAATCGGTTACACATCAGCGATACGATTCCGCTTCCGCATAACTTGTAACTGAAAAACAACTCCTGTGCCGTAATAAGTACAGTCCAATTATTGCGTTGTAGAAGAAAGAACATCTTTCTAATGGGCGAGCTATTCTCATGTCTTCATGCGGTGGTTTTTTTCATTGCAAATCCATTGTTCGACGCACCCCACCATGCAGCCAGTATCGAAAAAGCATCTGCGATAGACCCTGCACGACTATTATAATGATGCGAGTGTTCATTATAACTATGGCTCGAATTTAACGCTAGCGCGAAATTTACTACAAATGCACCGTCAGGTCAGTGGACAGATAGAGCTGACATTCGTCATAAAATGCGTTCATTCCAAAATGGCTGAAACCGTTTATTGCTGCTTTTCAGAACTATTTACTTACTCTGCATTTATCTTGTCTACGATGTATCTATAGAGGAGCTATTGATTACTAATTTAAGTTACAATGATTCAGGATGTGCATAGGTACGATGTATATTTACTAGAGGTGAATACGGTAGATCCCATCTATCCATGTAAGCATCTTCGTTGCCAATCGCTGTCAGCCTTATGCCAAACGACATAACGAAGGGCTGGTTTGGGCGGAAGTTTCTAATTTAAGCGAGCATGAAACCGTATTGCTAATTTAACTAGCTTCACCTCGGAATTTGCGTTTGACGAGTCACTTAAAAGGATTTCTAAATAGGCGCGCCAACACAGAGCACTGCTCTTCGTTTCGTTAAAATTGTCAAGCGGCAAATCTACGAACGGATGTATGTAAGTGACCCGTAATCATAATAACTTAACTCGAAGCACCCGTGGCAGGCTCGAACAAAAAGGCGTTCATCTTTTGATTCATCCTGCTCTCATCAGCAAGTTGTTTTTTGTCAAGCCCTAAACGCATTGTGTCTTCGTGAAGACGATGCGTTAAGAAGAGATTTGACGAAAGGACAAAAAACCAACCTGTCCTAAATATCATTCAAGTGCTACGGCAATGTCTTCGCGCGATAACAACCGCTCCAGCTTGGGATGTCTGAACCACGACTTAGTAACATCGAATTTCTTGTGGATAACTGTGGTAAGCTTGCTCGTCTTAGCGCCGTTAGCTGACGTGCGCTTGGTGGACCGCTGTGAAGTGGCTCGGGCGATTCGAGATCACACAACAATCAAAGGGGCTTGGAATATCAAGCAGTTTGTGTGTATCGCTGACAAGGTACGATAACTTTAGGTCTATTTTGGTTAGCCCTTATGCCGGACCAAGTCGATTGTTGTACTATAGTACAATATAACCTTATGGTATAAGCACCTGAAGGGTAATAGGGCATGCCACGATGTCGACATCTGTAAGGCTATGCAGTATGACAATTACGTGAATACGTACGAAGATCAAGGAAGAAGCAAGGACAAACAACGAGTATGAAAGCGCTCGGCGCAAGCGTTTATGACAGACATACAACACTAGCTCATAGATCGTTTATAAGCATGATTTGATAAATTCCGTAATTAAGATTTGTCAATTACGGTTTAGTTGTAATGTTTACTATTTCGCTGTCCATTTTTCGTGCAGGTGAGCCACTTCAACACATCTTTTGAGGTTCTGCGTATAAATTCACAACGTTCAGTCGGGCTATTTCAAATTCCGTCACGTTTCTACTGCCGTAACAAGCCACCCCCGGAAGGCCGGGCCGGGCTTTGTCACAAGCTGTGCGATTCGTATCTCGATGACAGCATAGGGGATGATGCCCTTTGTGCGTCAATCGCTTACAAGCAAACGGGCTTTCGATTCTGGAAAGTTTGGTACCACCAGTGCTATCTAAACAAGGATATCAACAAATACATCGAGGGTTGCGGCATCGAATAAGAGATTCAGCATTATATAGTAACTATCAAGCGATCAAGTTTGAACGATACAAAAGAAAGACCAAGTTACCATTTGGCCTCAGTCGCTTATGAAGGAACTAGTTTCAGTTGCACTAGGTTTTGTACTATGCCGCTTAAAAACTAGCAGTGTTCTGAAGGGTTATTCTAGCATAAAACCCAGCTTTCTGTACTCAAATGGCGAACATCAAATATTATTGAAAACTGGTTTCGGACTGAATTGGAATCTTTATGGTACTGTTTTTATTTTATAATAACAAAATAAATGTTGCTTGCACGCTAGTGTTTTGTGCACCTATGCTCAAAGGCATTTTGGTTCTTACTTTAAGGTTCTCGGTAGATGCGCAGTTACATAGCCTTATGACGCAGCCTTCTCTAACATTGCCATACCAAACTAGATCTACTGTTTACGTTACCAGTGATTCGGATATTGAACGAGAAACTCTTAATCGTCGTGTAATCGAGTCTTACCTTTGTCCCATTGTTGTTTATGTCCAAACATTAACAGGGTTTGTGATAGAGATTCGTAACATTAAAACTTAGGTTAACTATGGAGGGCCGTTATGGTTACTAGATCTTTCTGGGTTTTCTCGTTCAGTTAGTCTGCTGCCTGCACTGGAATATCAGTGGCCCCATAATCCCAGTTTATAGACTCTGCACAATAGAACTAGAAACAGTATGCACTAGCAAATCACAAACATATTTTTACAACTGCGTCGTCATTTCTTAGCGCGACTGAATTTCGATTCTCCAAACTACTATACCTGTATTGCATATTGATGGGTTACCAGACGGGTAGCTAAAGACGGCACCCACCTTAAGCAACTGTAAACTCTGATCACCCGACGCTGATAAAAATAGCAGCAAAACTAACAACGTCAGCATCGATAATGGCCATCTACGTGTTATTACATGCTCGTGCATTCGTGCGTATCTCATCGTGCTCATGCTATGCATCTATTATACCGGTTCTGCCGCTTCGCCTCTCGTAGCCTAGAAGAGGCAAACGAAATAATATTCTGACCTGGCAATTTGTTCTAATCTAAGGAGCTATCTAGTCTATGAAAACGACGCTACATAATCGGCTTCGGAAATGGTTGTTTGGTGGATATAAAAGCGATTTTGGTAGCGGGTAGGACACCTATTGGCTGGGATGACAACTATTACCTTTAGCTTCGACTCCTGATTTCGTATGCAATGTTGCGGGGATGGAATAAACTTGATCTCAAGGTCTAAATTAGTATATCTGCAAAATTAACTTGGAGGAAAAAGGAACAACGAAGCAGTGGTTCCGTTCACGGCGTTTGTTATAGGTAGGTCTGCTAAGCCCTAGATAGTAGGATAGAGGGACAGTTGTTACGTAAAGTTAACAACTTGTGAGTAAAATCAGCATCTTTTTTCTTTAGTTTAACTATAATTATTATATATATAACGCTTATTATTATTATTATATATAACGCGTTCCCAGCCATGGAAAACATAGAAACAATTTTATGATACCGAAAAATAGGTCGATTGAAAACTAATAAGCGATCCCGCAAAAAACCTAATCCGGAGAAAATCCTAAGTGGTTTTTTTCTTTTAGGTATAGTGTATGCAATATTGCAGTGTTAGTAAAAACGTTTGGCTGTTTTTTTTTTCTGTCTATCGTTCTACGCAAATGCAGCAAGAAAGTGAAGTTTACTAGCTGTATGCAGTTCAATCATCCATTCTAATTCACAGTACGCACTTATGGCTTCACTGTATTAGCGTGTGAAAGTCGCTGAGAAATAAAATGAAGAACATACTGGCTTCGGATACGTAATAGCGAGAACATAACTTTATCCAATTTTCTTTTTCTTTTATAATATGTAAAGAATCCCTTTAAATGAAGTGCGCTAGCTATACAGAATATTGCCCTATCCAGGTAGAAAAGTAACGGGGAAAGGCACAAGCAGTACCAGCTGAATCACAACCGATGTATACTATTCATAAATGATGAAAGACCCGAAGTGCTGAAATTTCGACTTTTGTAGCGCAGATTATATGTTAAACTATGTGCACATCTACGGCGAAAAGGTCTAATCATTTACTTCAATAAAATAAACTTGGCTAGTTTAGGTTTATGTAGCTTTGACGCGGAGAGCGGCCAATGATCCTACAGATGTTGATAGGATGAGCCATCTACGCACCGAGCGCCGTTCTGGCCAGTGGCCATCGCATTCATTGCCTTGTTCAACCAAACTATATAATAGACAATCACTAACAAAAACATACGCAGGCATCGCGAAAACCGCATTTATTTCGATATGTCAACAATGTTTACATCAAATTGTGCCAACTATGAACATGGGTGTATGAACGCAATATTTGCTTTTTTGAATAATTTACTCACGGCTCCTTCTTTGCATGGCCTGTGCCGATCTGTTGCTAGTTTGACAATCAATATGAAAGTACGCCTTCGAAACAACGCAGTTTCAACTATACCTTCACTATACCGGATTAACCTAGATTAGGCTACAATAATGCCACTCGCTACCTAGCATACCTACTAGCCTTTAACGTTAAACATCCTCTATAATGAATCATTTGCCCGAATACAGTACACAGTTGGCCGCGGCCGGAACAGCTCAACAAGCTGACACACAATCTATATATAGTTTCTGTTTTTCTCGTCCGTTAAACAGCCTTTTTTCCCTCACTTTCTATCTCTTTTCTTCTCTCTTTTCCTTGCTATTAACAACGAACAATAATTTTTACCACTTCCCACCGCCGCCTCCTCCTCTCCAGCCTCCACCACCGCCGCCGCCTCCTGCTTTCCAGCCTCCACCACCGCCTCCTCCACTCCAGCCTCCACCACCGCCTCCTCCATTCCAGCCTCCACCACCGCCTCCTCCACTCCAGCCTCCACCACCGCCGCCGCCGCCTCCTGCTTTCCAGCCTCCACCACCGCCCCCTCCATTCCAGCCTCCACCACGACCTCCGCCACCTTGGTTTCCGCCTCCGCCAAACTTTTTTTTAAGCAGCGCGAACTTAGCAATGACTGCCCCGCCTAAAATAATCTTGTTTTTGTCCAAACACACCACTTGAAGCGTCGTGAAACCGAGACCTACGATGCACAATACCATTAGAGTAGTAAAGATTCGCATATTCCTTATCAAATAGTTTAACACTATTTTCAGGTAAAAAGAACTATGAACCAACTCCGAGTTCTTGACAGGCCAGCTTTGTAGGCAAGTCGCAACTTGCTAGATAGAGCAGTACGAAAGTTTTGCTTCGACCACTCGCGCTCACCGACTTCATGCGGAACGACAAAGGTTTTTATTCTTCATGGGGTAGACTTCGCGTCCATAGTACAATGGCTACCTATTGTTATGATCGCGATAGGTATCTGTCGCTTGATGACTTCTTGAGAACTTCTGCTGACATTTATAGTTGAAATAACTTTAGTCGGGAAAGGGCTAGGGAACGACAGAACATCGTCACGAGAACACTGGGCATCATAGCATCGACATCGATGTTGTTAATGAGCATTATTAAATAGTCTTAAGAACTAAGTTCATGTGCCGTCTACTCCTCATACGAGGTCATCATACTATCGTTTCTCATTGACTGTTTTTATTTTTTACGTCGGAAGCTACTTTCTCTGGTATCAAGTTATAGCAGTGCCATCTTGAACTCCTTCTTTCTCTGCAGTAATATTTACAGTCACCAACACCCCCTGTATAGCAATAAAAGCACGGTCATAAAGAAGTAAGAAACGCGCTAAAGGGCATTCTACACCGGGAGTACGCTTAACTTTACTGACGACTGACCCTGAGCCTATGCCAATTTAGCGTCCCTCCCTGAGGAAAGCTCGTTATATGAGCGCTCACGTTAATCCACTGCCAGAATGCACACGATGATAGATGAAATGTCTACTTCCTAACTGCTGTTGTATATTATTTCCAATCCGTATTGGAAAACCTTTTGCTACCGAGCGGGGCAGAACTGGGGTCAACTGACATTAACATTTGAAGAATCTATGCTCTAATAGAATAAAAAGAAGATACCGCGCGGACACTGTCCGGCTCAATGATTCCGCAGTGAATACGTTCTTCGTTAGTTGATTTCCTTACTTAAAGTTTCAGTTGATACCTGCTAATTGCACACAGCCGTTTAGGTAACCAATTGGTATACCAAAACCATTTGGTACACCACCAACCGAAAAAAACATTTTAGTTGTTTGTCTGAGAGCGACGAATGAGGTGAAAACGACTTACGTCCCCGTTCACAGCCAGTTTCTTCGATTTAAGTATGTTGTCAAAAACATTCTTATGGGTGCCGACCGTAGATCGTCTGCGATTTTCAGTTGTAACGCTTTGGTATCTGCCCAGACGAGATATGTCCCTAATTAGTCTAACGTGGTTTTTCCTTATAGAGTAGCATATTTTTTCAAGAGGGCTAAAATAAAAAAGATCCTAATGAAAAAGGAGGTGAACGTGATATAGCATATGATTTTTCTAAGATCAAAGGTGGTTTAATGAAGTATTAGCGGCCGCAGCCATATGCCAGAAACCATTGCTATCTTAAACAAGAGGGTAATTCTCACGGTTGCTACACTTATGGAGATAGAATGCATCGTTTTGTAGAAACTAACGTATCAATTGCATTCAAAAAACAGGTCCCATATGTTATTATAGCCCTCAAATAAGTCGATTTAAGGCTAACTGTCCAACAAAGGCACCGCTTTCCATCAGTATTTAGGAACATGTTCATTAACACAACGTTGCATTCTAAAAAAATAACTTTTACAGCTTTTATATGTATGTATGTGTGTATGTATGTATGTATCGATTATTTATGCAAACAAATAAAGATTAAAAATGGGTAAAAATTCCACTACCACTATCAATAGCCATCGCTTACTTGATTTAGACATAAACAAGGGCTTAGGATATTGCTTAGAAAGCAACATCGAGGTAAGCCTCGATCCTGTATCTAAGCGCTATAAATTTCGTTGATAGAGGCAATGAAAAGAAAAATTGTTAGTTCCTGAATGACGTAATTCAACTACTTTCTATTTTTACGTTCATTCAAGAATATAAATGATGTTCCAAAAAAAAAATACACGATGACTGTAACTTCAATACTGTTCTATTTACATATAACTAGTAATTATAATACAAAGGAATCTACATAGATGTATAGGCGTCCCCAGCCGCGGAGGCTTTAATCGTTGCTAATGGCAACGGGTTATATATTGGCAGATTTAATAAGAGCAACTTCAGTACTGTTTGTGGTCTTGCTCAATTGTGGCTTTGAAATCTTTCAATATCGTCACTCTTTTACCGTATACTGTAAGGCATTTCTGCAAGAAAAAACATATTGGCGTCAGGTCTGGTGAATGGACGGAATATTTTATGAGACCTTTTCGCCTAACCCGTATGTTCGGAATCATCGTATATTCATATATTAAGTGGGTGCTTCGTCCTGTGCTTGAACAGATTCTTCTAGTAAATTCAAATTTTTACCACCGGTCGCTGAACTGTCGAAGAAAAAGATTTGATTAATATACTGCTTGAAATTCCGTACCACACTGTAGCTCTTGGTAAATGTATGTAGCTTTTTCTTTGTCTACTGTGTGGGGTTTCAATCGCTGGCGCAACACAATTACGTGTACTTATTGCGTCCTTTAATATGGATATAGCTTTATTGCTTCAAGCGATCTTTCCCTAAACTGGTGCGTCCTATTCACATTTTTTCAAGCACCCTATACAAAACAGTCTCCTTTGGCCTAGGCTGTCTTCGATAGCATGTATCTTGACAACGCCTCAAGATGCAATGGGCACTTGATTTGCTAGCGGCAAGCTTACGATTTGATCGTCGTATCGATTTTTAAGATGTTTGCTATAGCTTTACAATACCCTCTCTCTCTCTCTCTCTCTCTCACTCTCTCTCTCTCTCTCTCTCTCTCTCGCTTTCGGACTAGTGAAGCTCGTTAGTGTTTTTGGTTTTCTGGAACATTATCCGTGAGCATTTTTATCCGATTCCTTGTGAATCGGGCATATGATCTGACTGAACCTGTGATATGATCTCTCTGTACATTGGTTAGATTTTCATACGTCCAATAGCATTTTAAAATAAATTTCTTATGGCTAACGGGGAACCTTGGGCACTAATGACCTCCAATAAATTACGCCCTGAGAGGCATTTTCTGTCTCTGGTATAGTGTCGTATTCACACAAGAAGACTGTCATAAATCCGATATCGTTTGAGTATTTACTTAGAAAACCGGCATATGGTACATTTTCATTCCAAACGAAAGCCAGTGTTACGAAGATCGCGTGTGAGCCTTATATTAAAAGCTTGTTTTCGTCGACATTGAATCTTCTCGGATCTGCATACCGTTTTGGCACTCCCTTACTTTTTAAGCTCAACACCAACAATCTGTTCATCTTTAAGATCCATTGCCATATAAATACCGGTAGTACACACTGGGTAAGATGAGCTCGAAATCGTAAAAGATATACAGGCATGTGCTTAAATATACCATCAGAAAGAAAACGGCGTGTACTAGCCAATCATCCATCTATCCATTTAGCCTGTTTAGCGCCTTGAGCTTGAATAAAGCATCGCTTATTAGATGTGAAACAAATTCGGTGCAATGAAACGTGGCAGGTGAAACAACGAGGTCCTTACGTTAAACGTTGATGATCCTAAAACGAGTTAAAATACAAAACAATACAATGATCATCTTTGCTGCACACGAATATTGAGTTATGTTCATTAAGTTTTCATTGTCAAGCGATTGGTACATCTTGATTTCTAGAGAAATCAGCAATGATATTGTCCGTATCATTAGTATGTCAATATTCCATTAGGCCTGATTTCACTCCACGATAGGATAGGAAAGGAAACTTAAAAACTTAGTCCACTGTTTGTCCAAGGTTTGTATTCGTTGGCTTGCATTGGAAGCATCGGGAATGCTTGTTTTGAAGTGGCCTCTCGTATAAACGTACCATTATGTACGATTGTTATTGTCTAGTGTTTGAATGAAATCGTGACATATAGACTAGATGACGTGAGCGAATGAAAAGGTTCCTACCACTTACAGGAGCTCGGAAACGTCCTGAGCATGCAAGGACATCGCTCCAGATGCTACAGAAGTGCGGGTCCCATTATCATGCGATTGATAATTCAAGATATAGGTTGATAGGGCCGAACGTGAAGATAACTAATCGCGGGATCCTTCTGTACTAGTCGCAAGTACTAGTTACATACGTCGGAATGCCGACAATCGTTATCGGTTTTTTCAGATCGAAGACGGAAAGAAGCGACCGTGACGTAACGGCCTTATACACTAAATCTACTTTGCGAACCTTAATATCAATGTACGAAAGACCTCATTCGTTTTTTTTTTTAGACTCAGAATACACCTACATGTGCACGACAATGGCATGGAAGAGGAAAAACTTGACCGGTATTAAAAGAAATCCTTTCAACATGCCTAAATGTATCAATAGGTGGACTCTACGACCGCCACAGCTTATTTTTCAAACAGGAAAATCTTGCCTAAATCAAGTTGAACTATTTGTTATTGCTTGAAATCTAAGCACAACAGGTAAAAACGCAATGGTTCGTAACTAAGAGTACATAAATCGTTTTTAATTAATTCCCAACATTGCATAACAACTAAAAACGGAAAAGCTCGACAGGTAACAGTTCGTCTTCGAAGTGAAGAAACAAGCAAGGCCGTGAAGAATTTTTATTTTTACGCACAATTACACAATAGAAAATAATCTTACTCAGCACACATTTGTTTGATATTTATACTGTGACTAGTTTTTTTCGGCTGAACAATAATAGTTTTCCCAACATACAGCTACCCGTATCGAAATCTTCAGCCCTATGCTCGACGAACCTGGTAAACGTTGAGACTGGTTGAAAGCGTTTCCTGTTATCAACAATCCACAATACATGCGCTATATATTGGAAAACCACACAAGCTTTTCCGACTGATAGTAGTGGCCATTCGTTGTCGCGGTAGGACGATCGAATAGTGATCCGTGATTCCGTCAGCTGACAATCTATATGTTACCGTAACACAGAAACTGAATTAATAAATCAACGCATGTGAATAAATTTGAGCCTAATGAGGCTAACACCAAAGGACGTTAACGATCTGCAGTGAACCGAACAGGCCTGGCTGATCCTTTTATGGCAAGTCTCGATACCGTAACTTCGCGTCGTTTCAAGAACCTATCAGAATACGAGCAATCTAAACAAGGGGAAGCATCCCGGTACTCACTGCCTTCCCTTTGGCTGTTAACCGGAGTGTGATTATGTCCAAGTTCGATCTTTTACCACCTTCCCATCTGCGGAGGGGGATTTGAACTCTGCTCAATAGCTGCATAGACACTGTTACGCCATTATTTTCTGTGCCTATTTTTCTTAGGCCTAAGACCGTTTGGTCCCTGCGTTCCGCTAAAACCGTCTAACACTATTGTTCGTGCCACCCTGTGCGGAATATAGCCCAAATTACGGGTAAAAATACAACTAGCAATTCGTCTTACGTTAAGTTACTGATTAATAATAATAAGCTGCCATATACGTATATAGTCAACCCATAGGAGCAATCAACCGCGTATGTGCGTTAGCTGAAACTTAGCTATCTAGAACGCTATTATTATTTACTTTCAGTAGTATAATTCATTTTCATTAATATTTCTGCCACGTCGTTGCCCCTGTAACTGCGAGCTAGAGAACTGGGGGCACACTTATGACCTAAGAGCAAGGCGAACTAAATTCGCTCTTATTAAAAAGGAGAGTGTCATTAAGGCTAAACGTATAAGCTGACGAGTGGCAACAACGTATCATTGCTTATTGACAAATCCCCTTGGCAATGTCGGCTTGACGTAACACATGGCCTTCTAGGATTCTCTAATGCTGGCAAATGATAATGTTTAATTTGTTTGCTATATTGTTAACAATGAATAGTTTATCGCTATCGTTCATAGTGAAAATGTCCATATGAAGGGCTGACGCTGTGTTGTGTGTGTTGATGTCGCTTCACAGTCGCAGACAAGCTTTCTCTCTGCTATTGTTACAAATAAGTGTCGTTGACGAAGCGGTAACATGGACATACTTTAAAGAATTGGCGGTCAGTGAAGGCTAGCGCTATCATGAAGTACGCAACAATGTCACGGCGTATGCTGCCGGAGCACCTCGAGCCTCAGAGGTCTCGAGGCTGTCTTAGCTCAAGATCTAATGTCGAATCAATTCGATACCTTCTACAAGAATTACTGCAAAGGACAGACTGAGTACTATAAAGGATTGTGGTTTACATCCAAGAGCAAAGTGACACTAGTTACGAGCGGCACACAAAGCTAAAAGAGAGCTTTCTATTCTAGAATGAACCAATTCTGGAATATAGTGATGCAGCAGCTAGCACGCCGCGTGACCGCCTGACACGAATAGTCGCTAAAAATACATCGTAGGTAAGTCCTGTATGTACTACAACTGAAGAAGGTGATACACTTTTATGCGATCAGCATACTTTTAACCAAATAGGCCGCCGAAATTGTCGCGACCGATATATTCTTCAGTCATACGTCCCGGTTTACGCACACAGCGATGATCCGGAAGCGGGAAACGTTGCCTTCCGCGAGACAGATTTACCATCATCGCCTATACCGTCGTCATGTCTTCATATCCAGGAAAGCTCGTATCACTGCATGACTTCTACCCTCTGTCGTCCGGGCTGGGGGTCATTGAGGCGACAAGCAATAATGTCAATGGCAAACTTTAGGCAAGATCCTGCATGGATTCAATTAATGGCTGCGAATCGTTTTTCCCGAAACCTTAAGCACTGGGCAGACGACTGCCAACAGGAAAACTCAGGCGCGTACAATAACGAATAGATGGCTGTTGGCTACAAAAGGCCCCAAACGAACGCTGATGGAGACGGAGCAACGTTTCCTGGCAGTACTTTTTGTGTGATCGAGCGAACACCAACCTTGTTCTACAGTGAGAATTTCACTAAGCTCTTAGCCGAACAGAATTCCTGGTCTAGCTATAGCATACGCCTACCTTGAAAACGTCTCAAACATTAGCGGCATCTACCAGCTATTCACGATCACATCGCTCGCCTCACACCGCGATTAGCACAGGATCAAAACCATTAGCGGGATATTTACGATAATGCGCTACAAGCACTATCCAGCGACTCGATGCAACGATCTTTTCGCCCCGATACGACCTTGTAGACTCTAACGGCCACGACGACACCTCCCAGATGACGGGAGGTGTTTTCGTCGTTGAAATGACCGACCTGAGAAGGTTTAAGGAGAACACTAACGAACCGAACCACAGTTCATAACCGGTTCATAATTGGGTCTAGAGTCCGGTAAACAATGATATATTTGTTGGACGCTCGGACCCGTTCAAGCTATCTATCGATATCAAAATATAGCGCATTCAATTAAGACAGGGTCACCCTAGACTCTAATTATTAACGCTTATTTAATTTTTTTTAATATTATTCCTTTTATTATTTTATATATTACCTAGTATAACATAGTAAATATAATATTAATAGCCGAGCTAAGCGATAGCAATTTCTATGAGTAAGGTTTGCAATCAGAGATTTCTTTGCCGCTAATACCTTGCATTAAGCTTATGAACTTTTACCGTTAGATATGGTATATGTCAATCCAGCAATCTATTCTCGGCTAGATCTACCTTTTATCGGCATGATATTCTCTATCATAAACTAAAGAAAGATTTACTCGTACTTCTTTGTTATAAAATAGTTTATTCTTCCCATTTTTTTTTTTTTTTTTTTTCGATTTTCTCTGTAACTCTCGACAGATAACCTAATATCTCTCCCTTTATTTTTCTCCCTCCTCGATTATTATCATCATCATCATCATCATCATCATTATCATTGTCGTGATCCTTCATGCATCGTCATAATTTACTCCTGTTCCTTTGAAATTATGTCCTCTTTTCCTGTTTCAGATGATTTCCTTTTAGCATTCGTTAAGATCTCTTCATAATCGTCATTAATATCTGATCATCGTTAGACGCATCATGTTATTTTTGTTTGTTTATTATGTCTTCTGTCTGCTTCGTTTTCCTCCCACGTATTGTCGGCTTCCTTCCCGTTATCACTAATGGCGTTAACGACACGCACACGACATCAACAAATTACCACCGCTTCGTGTCGGACTGTGTGTTTGTTTATGTGTGTCTGTGTATATTATGTTCGCCTTTACCAAAAAATTGCAATAGTAATAATATACGAACTGTACATGGGGGCCAATAATAAATACGTGGTAACCGAACGCTATTATGCTATAAATTATCTCTTTGCGTTAATACATACATTGTTATTATTACATATATGTTTCTTTTTTGTTGTTGATTCCCAGCGCTATTGTGCTTAGCCTTGACCAGCGAACATGCCCCGCTTGCCCGGTCATTGCTAACGTAGACTATTTTACCAAAACTATTGTACATATGAGCGTTCTGGTTCCAAATGAGCCAGCATCTGTTACCGGTTACCTGTCTTAGTTACGTCTACGAAAAACAAAAAACTCCAAGGTTCCACCACCGTTTTTTTTTTTTTTTTGGGGGGGGGGGGGGGGGGGGCTAGACCCGCGAGGTTTCTCTGAATTGTTTCCTCATGTAAACTTCACTAAGTGTATAACTCTGTATCGGTCCATGCTCATTAAGTCATATCGTCCACAAAATTGTGGCTCGATGGCTATATGCCAATAGCCGCGAGAATAGCCAAAATCTACATTTATAGTTGTCATTAATATATTCACATAATGTACGTCCGCCAAAATAATTTGTTTTTTTTTCTTTCTTTTAGGTATACGCATGCTTGTCTACTGTCACATTATAGCTTACTATAGCACAGTTTATATATATATATGGTAATGTATATCGAACATATCCGTGTATGTACTATCTGAGCGAGATTGTGATGTTCAGACTTTGTCAGTTATTATTCGGTGTTTCGCTTTTGATGATGTTGCTTTCGTTATGTTACTGAGGCCTTCTATCACTTTTTCTAGTCTCACAAACAAGGTCCTGATTCGGCCTACGTTAGTCCTTTTCACTGACAGGCGCATTCAGCTGCGCGTTTAACAGGCTGCCGGCTTTTCTGTCCTTCGACTAGTCGCACCGCGAACAACACCGCCATCGTAATTAGCCTCGCGATTATCTCCTGACGATCTTGTCCCGACGTTTATGATACACCACTAGCTCAACATTTATAGAAAATGTGTGTACACAGACGTCTCGGTTTTTTCCTTCTGTATCGTTCGCTTTTTTTTTTTTTTCTGTACAGATAGATAGCAGACAGGTTCTTTTCACTATTCAGTTACACACTTGCCCTGACAATTGGTGTACCTTCATATTTTTTGTCGCCAAAAGGTCCCTATACTCATACACAGGGAAGCTCAATTCGACTACGCTGCTGCTGCTGCTGCTGCTGCTGCTGCTGCTGCTGCTGCTGCTGTTATATGTGTCGTTATTGGTTACGTATGTACAATAGAGATCCAGGGATCCGTCTTGGCTTCCATTTCGGCTACATGTCCAAACAAAACAATAGATAGATAGAAAAAAAAACGACCTATAACGTGCTTTCCGATCGCTGAACGCTCGCTGATTTCATTGCCGTTATTAAGAGTGACATCGGTTACTGGACGACACTTTCGGTATAACTAGTTCCAGACACGGTTGGTTGTAACAAATTAATATAGCCCGTCGTTGAACATGTCAACGAGGACCAATACACATTTCCGAAATATACAGAGTCTTTTTTTGGGAGGGGGGGGGGGGCAGGGCAGGGCAGGACAGGGCAGGGGGTAGGTAACAGCGATTAATGTGGCCAGTTTTACGCAGGCTTACATAGCCTGTTATTTTATTAAATTAATGTCAAAATGCCTTCGCAATATGAAAATATGTTTGCGCGACTGCGGACATTTGTATGCTTCCTAGCTAACTAGTCCGTGTCCGTTTGCTTACTATTTACAAACGTCTTGCCAAAGCCAAAAGGGGGTTTACATAAAACGATTCGCTTGGATGGCTTAACTATAGCTCGTTGACGCGGTGTGTCACCTAACGACGTACACACTCACCACATCTGCCTATACAAGATAGTATGTCATTGATAAATAATATATGAAGGATGAGATGACTGAGCGGTCTGCTTAACGGTAGACGCTCGAATGCCTCTAGGTGTCAGTTCGAAGGCAGACAAGGCGTTCTCTCTCTTCTAATTCAGCAAACGAGACACAGGTATGCAAATGTTGCAGAAATTATCATGGAATCACGTTCAGCCCATTGGCCTGCTTACACCTGGTCCTTTTCGTACTTTATTAGATACCATACACCTCGTAACCAGACGGACAAGCAGCCAGATATTATATATATATACAATGTGTAGAATGTAACATAGATCTCTAGCTTTTACCAATTTCGCCCACACTGCTATCGGCGCACCCTTCAAAGACTCGTTTTCAAATATATATGTATCACTCTTATGTGGATTGGCATTGTTTTCACTTGTTGAGGCTGTACACACGTTTACAATGGTCAATGGAGCTTGGCTGGGTGGGGGTGGATTGCACTGCGCTACAGTCGCTCCACGTATTAGCAGCTGCATCATGTGAGTGCCTCGCCAGTGTAGCTCAAAAAGGCCTGATGTTTTTGTCGACCGGCAGCTGAGGCCTGTAATTCCTATTACGCCACTATTATGATTTGACTGGCGCTGCTGGCGTAACTGTTGCTGTCGTCGTCTGGCCAGCGGTATTGTTCGGGGTTCCAGCGGTGCTCGCGCTGGAAGCGGTTGTAACTGCCGTCACCGATGGAACAACAACTGTAGCAGCTGTACTTGTAGCAGCAGCTGAAGCAGTTACAACAGAGAGCGCCGCTGTTGCTGCTGCTGCTGCTGCAGCAGCAGCAGCAGGAGGCGCGATTGCAGCGGTGAGGGGTGGCGTTTTCGCCGGGATCTGAGTCGCCAGAACGGTGCCAGCTGCCGCCGCAGATGGAGCTGTGGGAGTCGACCCAATTGTTGTCGTTGTTGCTGTTCCTGCTGCTGTCTGGACAACAGCTGGCGTGTGCGCGGACTGCTGAACCACCGGCTGCTGTTGTCCTGTCAAGGATGCGACAGTGAGCTGCTGCTGTGCGGTAGGGTGGCTCTTAGTCGGGGCCGATGGACCAGACTGGGATGGCGGTCTGGGTGCGATCGGCCTATTTGGCATCGCAGCAATCGGAATATGTGGCTTACGACTGTTGTTGCTCGAGCTGTTGTTGTTGCTGCTGCTGCTGCTGTTGTTGCCACTGCTGCTAGTGTTGTTGTTAGTATTTAGATTGTTTTTGTTGCTGCTGCTGCTGCTGCTGCTGCCGCCGCCGCCAGCACCCGTAGTTGCAGTCGTCATTGACTGGGCATTCGAAACGGGTAAAGCGGAGTTGCCCGGAGTGTTGGTCACGGCGGCGTCGGCGGAGGTGCCGACGGCCGCGATATTCGTGGCAACTCCATTCGCAGTTACGTTGCTAACGCCACTGGCGCTCCCGACAGAAGGGGCATTCGACGTTGTGGTTGTCATAGTTGCCGTCGCTGCTGCTGCTGCTGCCGTTGCCGTAATGGGAGTTAGCGTTGCAGCAGCTGGTGTTGAGCTCATTTGGAGTTTTCGCACAACTTGCTGGATGCTCGACGAGATGGATTTACTGCTCGACGAGCCCGTTGACAGGGATTTACCGCCGGCTTTCAGTGAGCCCTCGACGTCCTTGTGATCCGGAGGCATTAGGGTAAGCAACGTCTTTATGGGATCATAAGGTGAGGAACTGTTGTTGCTCGAAGTGCTATGGCCACTCGACTGGCTGATAGTAGCACTAGAAGTCATGTTTGGCGCGGACGCGTTGGCAGATGTCGCGGCAGGTAAAGCTCTTGCTGAAGCTGCTGAAACCGTTTTCGGCGACTCAATTGGTGTGATAGTCACGCCCGATGAAGCTGACGGCTGAACGGGTGGACTGAGGACTTTAGGGGCAGCCTAGAACCACAACGGAGAACCTATTAGTTAGACACTCCTGGTCGTTATAGTTTATGCATGCACGAAAATAAATGCCAAATAGCGTTTTCGTTCACACAAACACCTGAACAAAGCTGTCGTTTCGCATTATACGCTATTATTATTATACGCACTATTCGTCGGTAAAATTTCCTATAATAAAAATACTGATATATATATATCGCTTTTGTCAATAATCGGGCTAGCTGTTGGCCATTTTTGTAAATTTTGGCAAAGTAAATGGTATGGAAAAGTAGGAAATCTCACCTGAGTAACCGACGCTTGGACATTGCCAGTGGATATCGAAGAAACCTGAGTTGACGGTGCCTTCGATAGAGTTACTGACCCGGCTACGGAAGCGTTGTTGACTACAGGCTGAATGGTGAGCATCGTCGAGACGGTGGAGACTGGTGTATTGTTGCTTGTAGCACTAGTGATGCTGGCCACTGTCAACGCTGTGTTTGATCCAGGTGTGGTGACGTTAAGTGACGCGGAGCTGCTGTCGCCAGCACTCGCCATGACGGGAATTGTTGTTGCATTTTTCGAGACACTACTCTCGTTGTTGTTACTGCTGCTGCTGTTGTTGTTGTTACTATTACTGGAGCTGTTACTATTACTATTGTTATTAGCACTACTGTTATTATTATTATTATGACTGCTATTAAGCGGCGGCGGCGGCGGCGCCGCACTCGATGGTGAACCGCTCAAAGCAGTGCTTTGCTGGTTGTTAGGGGCTTGGCTCTGCGCAGGGGGTGTCTTGCGGGGATTGATCTTCGGGAGTCTCTGTTGTTTTGTCGGTTTTTTCTCCTTTACGACGATGCCAGCAGTAGTACCGCTGTTGCTGCTGCTGCTGCTGCTGCTGCTGCTGTTGTTGTTGTTACTTGCAGCAACCGGATTGTTGTTGTGCGTGCCGTTGTTAATGTTGCCCGCAGTGTTTGTATTGCCATTGCTATTATTCGCATTGACATTTACATGGATACTGTTATTGTTGAGGCTTTGTTGTTGTTGCTGCTGCTGCTGTTGTTGTTGTTGTTGTTGCTGCGGTTGCTGTTGTTGCTGTTGAGGCTGTAGCGCTTGGGGCTGAATTGCTTGCACGAGGGTCGACTGCAGCTGTTGCGCCTGGTGGTGGTGGTGGTGCTGTTGTTGTTGTTGTTGTTGTTGTTGTTGCTGCTGCTGCTGCTGCTGCAGATGAGTATTAAACAGTTGCAAGTGCTGATGTTGCTGTTGCTGCTGTTGGATAAACTGTTGCTGGATAAGCTGTTGCTGCAGTTGTTGCTGTGCGGTCTGTACGGTCATCGCGCCCAGCGGACCTATTTGGCCGATCTGGGTTAGCTGTGCTGTTGTTGGCCCCTGTTGAGAGAACAGCTTTAACGGTGACCCGTTTAACAGAAGCGTCTGCTGAGCACCCGGCGTCTGCGATTGGCCGGATTGCTGTGGTGCTGCCTGTTGAACTTGGACGGTCATCGGTAGTGCGGCTTGTGCTTGCTGCTGTGCCTGCGGATGATGATGCTGTTGTTGCTGCGGCTGCTGTTGTTGATGATGATGGTGATGCGACTGCTGTGCAGTAGCCTGCGGATGCAGCTGCGGCTGGGCCGGTTGCGGTACGGGCGAGAGTGTGACGCCGTTTGGCAGCGTAATGAAGCTCATCGTCTGAGGACTTGGGCCCCCGATGCTGGTCACAGTCCCGTTCGAATTATGCACAACGACACCCTGCGCATACGCCTGCTGCAAAACAGCGTTCTGCTGCAGCATATTTTGCAGCTGCTGCAATTGCAGCTGTTGATTAAGGAACGTTTGTTGGAAATGCTGTTGCTGTTGTTGTTGTTGCTGCACTTGTTGCTGTTGCTGCTGCTGGCTCGGAGTCGCTGACGCAACGGAGGGATTACCTGCGGTAAACGTCGAAAGACGTCAGAAAGCATTGCACGTCAAAAATAAAACAATGGGGTATAATTGGATCTAATAAGAATCAAACAATAAAGATCGTCGATATTACCATCAAATAAAGAAAGAAAGAAAACGACTTAACAAGAATGACCTATTATATACTACACAAATGCATACCGACCCAATGCTATTGTCACTTATCCTTCGTCTCTAATTTTCTTAGACTTACTTCAACTGCTACTATTCACTTAGTGGTTTCCCCTACCTATTCTACACATCGTCATCTTGTCCGCAGCGATCCCGTTGTTGGACGACAGCACGATCGAAAGTGGCGCGGGCGCGACGCTCGTTACCACCTGCGGCGGCGGGCCCGCTGCCGGCTGACCGGTGACGATCTGGCACCCGGCCAACGGGTTCACCCCGCCAGCGCTGGCGACGGGCGCGAGAACGCTTGGCTTCGTGGCAGTGCAGCTGGTAGTCACCGTTGAGGCAGCTTTCTTCATCAGGGCGGCAGATGCAGCGGGTACAGCGGCAGTAGCAGAAGCTGCGGAAGCAGAAACAGGCGACGGGCCACCTGCTACCCCGGCGGCGGTGACGGCGGATACAGCCGTGACCGTCGGGTGCGGCGAAACCTGCATAACCTGGACGCTAGTCGGCAACCGCTGACTAACGCACATGGCGACTGAAGTCACTGGGGACACGCGTTGATCGTCCGCCGGAGAGGCGGAGGAAGAATGGGGAGCTAAACTTTGAGGGTTCGAGTTTAAGTTGCTCGAGCTACTGCTGCTACTGCCGCTAGTAGCAGTAGCAGCAACACCGCCAGCGGCGGGGGTAATAGGAGCTAAATGGAGCTGGGGCGAAAACTGGCCGGAAGAAACACCGGCGGCAGCTTGGCCACCTGGGGGTGGCGGCATCGTGCTTAGGGTAACTGTCGATGCTGCGCCAGGGGGGTTAGGGGCAATGAAAGGTGAGGAATTAGCAGAAGGATAAAGAGAAGAAGAGGTTGGAACAGTTGTGGTCGTTGTGTTAATTGCGGCGTGAGGGTGGGAAAGTTTGTTGTTATTATCCGACACAGACGTGCTATAAGTCGCCGTTGACGCCGACGACGATGACGTCACTGACGTTGGCGCCGCGGGCACGGCGACCGGTTGAGCCTGTGCGGCCACGTGAGCCAGTGTATGCAGTTGCGCAGTATGTGCATTCAGCTGAAGCGAAGACTCGATCGCCTCCACCGCCATTTGCGCAGCCTGCTCTTGTTGTTGTTGTTGTTGTTGCTGCTTTTGTTGTTGTTGTTGTTGTTGTTTCTTGCTGAGCTTCTCCTTTCTTTCTTTGCCTAAGCAGGGCCGCTTGGCGGGTGGCGTATCCATAATGCTTGGTGCGGTGCTCATAGCATTACTACTGCCACTGATGCTGCATTTAGGGTTGTTGTTGTTGTTGTTGTTGTTGTTGCTGCTGCTGCTGCTGCTGCTGCTGCTGTTGCTATTGTTGTTGTTGTTGTTGTTGTTGTTGTTATTATTATTATTTAAAGCGACGTTGCTGTTGTATGCCGCGGATAAGTGTCGTTTGCCTTCTTTTCGTTCAGCTTTGACATCAACAAGCTTGACATTGACGTTGCTGCTCGTGGTGCCCGTTTCTTTATGATTATCGCCTAGTTTCTCTTCTGCTTTTGTTGTCTTGTGTTCCTTGTCTTTATGTTCACTCTTCACTTTGGTCTTTGTTGTGGGTTTACTTTCGGGAGTGGCGCTTGAACAGACTGAAGATAATGCCTTTCGATCTTCGTCCTCTTCCGATTTGATCTGCTGCTGATGCTTGTTTTGCTGTTTTTGCACCTTCAAAGGTTGTTCTTTGCCTCCATTTTTAAGTCGGTCCGATACTTTACTATCGCTAAGATCGACATCCATCGACTCTGGTTCGTCTTCACCCCGAATAACGATTCGGTCCGTTTTACTGTTGAGTACATCGTTTAATTCCTCCGGTGGCAGTTTCTGCTCGAGATTGCCGAACTTGTAGTATAGTTTGAGCGCTTCGTTGACCCGCCACGCGTAGATATAGGCCACATCAACCATTGTATAGTCATCGAGAAGTATATCCTGCATATATAATATGTCGATCGTCTCTTTGGGCGCGAGTCCAAACTTAGCACGAAGAAACTTCTTAAGCAACCTCACCTTGAAATTTCCAGGCACCTCAAGGTAGCGTTTACCATAGCTCATCTCGGGTGTCTGCCTTAACGGACGCAGCCAGACCTGCCGTACGGCGAGATCCTTCGGACAATATTCCAACGATATGGCAAAGTTGTCCGAACTGTCAAAAATCAGCCTTTCAACGTTGACCAGATCGCCGCGCTCTTCGCTCGATAGGTTCGTGTAGTTCGGACTCTTGGCTGAAATACAAATTACCAAAATGACATTGGTTCAATTGTAGAATGCTAAGTTTTCCGTTGCAAGCTCAAATCGTCACAGGTCAAAACAAAGCCAATGGCATTGTTTGTTAGTGCTAATTCCAAAAAACACTGCTATGAAACAAGTTGTCCAAGTAAGGAACAAGTAAGTGTGTCCTTGGCTGGCGGGCTAATGACTACGCTCAAAAGGAAACCATTATTTTACTATTACAGCGACATAACTACTTACGCGAAAGGGGTATATTGGCATAGAATTGTCTCCGTCTTTCCATCTCGTTGCGGAATAGGCCGGGCACCAGCTTGTAGACTATGTCCTGAAGTGTCGAATCACTCCGCAGGTACTGATGCAATTTTGTCCCAGCTAATTGGAACTTGCATTCCGGACAATTAGGAAACTGATTTTTGCTTAGGTGTTTGATGATGCACGTACGACAAACTAATGTACACAATAAGCACAAACGCACAAAGTTATCAGCTAACCAATGTCACACACAACTTAAAATAGTATTCATTAATAAATTTTACCGTCGTATCTTCTGCGATCTGTTGTACCGACAGGACAAATACTTCTGGCAGGCTAGTTACTTGTAATCAAATTGTGTTATCTCCAAGAGACAATTTAACTTAATATCATTCGGTACATATCGTCATACAAATAATCAACCAACTGCCTAATAGCAGACGAGCACTAACGCCACAACAAATTCCGGTCTGTTCTATGAACTAACCAGCACGGTGAGCCGTTGCACGCAAGAAAGAAATAAGCCAGCGGGCCGTCTCAGTCCGATGAGTCATTGCATCATAATAATAATAATAATAATAATAATAACAAGCTGTGCATATTTTTCGTTTCGTGTAGTAGTTTCAAGGAAAAATGCCATTATTTCTGTTTTCATTGAAGCCGCTTAGAGATGCTTGTGGGCGATAACTAAAGATGATCTAATGTTGCTTGACTCACACCTGGACCTGACATGTTGATAGCATGGCCGACCGACTGTTTGCCAATATAGTAACGGACAGAGCTCGGCGATCTGGGGATGTATGTTACTGGTCACCAAAAACGCCAACATATTTCATTCACAAACTCTCGCGGGCCTTAAATAGACATCTTTTCGGCAACAGCTTTTTTTTTTTTTCTGAGGACGAAGCTGCGATCGCTATTATTAATAGGACATTGTCACTAGAAAGGCAACGTGTATTCAGTTATGTACTCCTATTATACTCACACGAGTGGAGGCATTCCACAATTGTCGTAGCATCAACAAAGTACCCGTGGCATAAGGGACATTTGAGATGTTTATTGACGTCAGTTAATTTAGCCTTTTTGACGGGGTACATTGGCACATTGCTGACGGGGGTGCCAGTCGGTACAGTGGCCCCCTCATGTTGTTCGTCGCCTTCAGAAACATCAGGTAAATGATGATGGTGATCTCCTCTTGATTTGGTATTTTTGCCAGTCGCTGTATGCGGTCCCGTGTGGCCTGTTGCTGACGGCTGCGAGGACTCCTTGTCCTTCGACGCGCTCGTGGCATCTTCCCGAGGCTCCGAGTGCGCCCGACGCGGGAGTCTCTGTGAGATCAACGACAGGAATTGACAAACACAGTTCGTTGTTACAAAGTTCTAAAGTTAAACAACATATGAGGCATAAGTACATTGACACGAGAAAATAACGAGCAACAACCTATTACCAGGTAGTATGATCATCGTATCCGTTTAACGTAAAAGATCCCGCAGAACCCGTAGGGTTCAGCTGGTCTTAACGAAGAAATGTTGTTGCACAAGTCGCTGTTTTATAGGTTCTGTAGGATCTGATATACATGTCACATATGATATGATTAACTATCCGACTTTAGATAGCTTGTTTTACGTTAAGCTCCAGTCCAGTATCACGATCTCGGTACGTGCTAGGATTACCATTGAATATTGAGAAAAAAATAGAAACGCGTCAAGTACAAGTCATAGCAGATTTTAATATAAATAAGCTGCATTTTTCATTATGCCAGTATCCTTTCTGCCGTTATTATGCTGCAATTACGCCTAACTGGTATCTGTTTTTTTTAACATTATACATCATCGTCTTTCATGACTGTTGTTCTTAGCAGTGTTTTTCGCTTACCTCACGGCGTTCGGAAGAGGCGGCGGGTCCACTCTGTCTGCGCATCTCTACGGCACTTCTCCGTTTCTCCTTGAACGTTTCCTTGCGTTCGGCCTGAGTGGCGGCCTGATCCCGACGACGTTTAATGGCCGGCGTCGGCTGTGCAACTTGCTGTTGCTGCCGTTGTTCGGATGGCGTTGTTCCGAGGCCGCCGGTGATATTATTATTGTCGACCGCCTCGTCGGATGAACCTGGCTCGGTTCCCTTGTTCGTGGTGTTACCATCCTTACCTTGGCCGACGGAATCGCTCTGATGATTTCCGCATTTGCTCTTGTCGCCAGATGGCGCCTCCTTGCCGTTATCTTTGATAGCGGCTGGGGCCGTCGTGGTGGCGGGACCCCGGGCTTTCGTTTGCTGGGGCGCGCTGCTGCCCTTCATCTTCTTATCGAGGATCATCTCCTATTTTTTCAGGGAGGAGCAATTAGAGCAACAGCAAGAAAATGATACTTAATAATACTACAAATGTACTAAATTTTTCAGTAAATAGCAAAGATCGTACTCGAATTACTTATAAATAAAAGTGATTAGTCTGTTTAGTCGGCTTGTCAACTGGTTCAAGTCGTAGTGATAATCTATGTAAAAAAACGTGTCTCAGATGTTTCGACTGGCGTAAATTTTTGGTAGTTGTCACTTGGCAGTGAAACCTTAAAAGGTCCTGCACGTGAAACCAACTCAGAGACATATATACACTGTAGACGTGTGTCGTTGCGACGGTTTACGAACTAGTTTATGGATACCCTACAAATCAGATTATCCCGAATGAGTCGAACAATGCCACTTATTTGAATGAATTCAGGCCCAACCTATATTATAAGAAATTATAATATATAATTTCAAATACGGCCTATAGCTGACATTTTAACGCTTAAATCTAGACCGTTCTAGTTTTAGTTTGTGTTTCATTAACATATAAAAACCCTCGTAATCCCCAATAGCGTATCCCAAATAAAGTAAAGTTAATGAAGAAGTTGTAGAAACCAAGCCATTTTATGCAATAAGCGACGTGCTTCGATCGAAGGTTGAAGAAAAATTAACGTCGGTACCCTTTTTTCAAAAACGCTAACAGAAGCTACACAATTTTCTCCGAAGCATGCCGTAGCCGTAGTATGCTAGTTAGAGGATTTTCTTATCAGGTCTTATAGACTTTTTAAAGTTCGCATCTTATGGTATGGATGATTATGGTTTTGAGCGAAATACTACCAAAGGTACCAGATTGAAAACTAACTACTTGTCCTCACATTTACTTAATGGATATTTCTCGCAGACTTTTACAAATAGCTCCATGCTAAAAGAAAGGTATGATTAACCAAACGTTCTATAATGGGAGTTCAAACCTTAACACTTTAAACCTTCGTCACAGTCCCCTCAAGGTATACTTGATTCTAGACAATTGCTTGAAATTATTATTACATAATATAGCTAGCCCGACATCATACGCCAACCGATATAGATTATACTAGCCCATTGGCCTCATCAAAACATACAGAATCTTCAGGCATTGACCGTAGTACAATTTAATTACCTTCATTGCCGGCTATGGCAGCTTATCACACCGTTATTATAAAACGAGTTCGTATCAGTCTTCCTTAATCTGCTTAGCTACATACGGATAACCTTCTTTTTATACATAGGCACACCACACCACCGAATCCGGCCGGTACATCGCCTTGAAGTGACTTGTTTGCTCGGGTTAATTAATGGCCAACATCGAAAACTTTAGGCGTGAAGATTTATTTACTCTCCTAATTTGGTTTTTTTTTTTTTTTTTTTTTCGTCTGAGTGGATGAGTTCGAGAATTCGGATACGTAATAGCAATTCGTAAACCGTTGACAACGAAAAGTAATAAACATACAATTGAAACAACTGTATAGTCCATCATTTCGCACCAAACGGACTTATGAATCTTCTTCAAATCTATAGATGCGGCGTAAGAAAAAACGATTTTAATTAATATATCGGAGCTGGCTTTAATCGGAATAACGGCAACGGCTCACGACAAAAGCGCTCACAACTAAATGGCTGAACGATCATTGTTGATTCACAATATGTCAACACTGATAACGTCGTTCAGCAGCTGAACCTAAATCAGAGATATTGAATGGAATATTTTTCACATGGTTAAATTTCATTCAGCAAACGTCTTTTATGGAAGAGTTCGACCAGGTCTATTAAATTACGGAGAATTTTTAGCGACAGGGTTTTAATAGCCACCAAAAACTCCCAGCGGGGATGCCACTACCACAGTAATGTTATATATTTAATATATGACCCCCATGTGATTCCGATCAACGATCGAGACAGCTCACTCAATATGCGGAAACAAGCAGATTGAAAGACTGCCCGCAACACAAACATACTTCAGTCGCACAATGATCTATCGGCGTAAAATTAGACGTTATGATTTTGTTGAATGCTCTACTTCAAGAAAAGGGCCACGATGCCTGGCTTACACGGCCTGGCGCCGCTTGGTACAATACGCCCACTTGAGAGAAGCATAGGATATGCGCACTACTTCGAAATACTAAAAATCCGCTTAACAAAGATTTCGGAGCTTGTCAAAGCGCTATAATAAAAAACTATTCAGATTAGAATTGGCAATCCTACGGTCCACTATCCCCAACAATGTTCTGTTGGTGCACAATTGTTATCGAAAAATTTAATATAAAAAAAGCAGCCCAGCGTTCAACGGAGGTGAGCGCCCAAACGGCTCGCGTGTGAACGGTAATTGTAAAGCATACATGGTTGCAGACTGTAGTTACTTGTCTACAGAGAGGTCGTGACCCATATTCGTTTCCCCCGAAATTAACTACATCGTCTCTAAAACAATTATTTCTATAAACAAAGTTAATAGATTATTTCTATAAAGTACGAGCTTGACAAAACCGCGCCTATCTATGGGGTCGTTCACGTCTATCCAATCTAGGACTGAATCCAGTGCAGCAGTCGGTCGGTGGCAGCTCTGGCAGTGGGTGATTGGCAACTTCTTTGCTCCTTCGTTGTTCCGACTGATTTCTCCCACCCGCGAGTCGCAGGGGACGCCCACCTCTCACTGCTCTGCGCACCACTGCCGGGCTCGGCGCTGCTTACCGAAAGCAAGACCCAAGCGGCAGGCGGCAGCGGCAGGAGCCCATCGAAGCCAGCAGAACGGCCCAGCAAGAGATGATGAGTTCACACCAAAGATGTACCCCTAGAGCACCAGCTCACCGCTGTATTACCGGGCGCTAGTTGGAAAAAGTGGTGAGCTGCTAGCGTGAGCTACCGCCACAACTATCGCCGGCTATCAACTAGACTTTTGATCTTTCAACATCGGTTCGTTAATGAGTCTCTGTAGCTTTGTATGACAAACATATTCATATGGATATCCTGCTCGTACGGACGCGTATAATACTATTCATTTGTCTAGTGTAAGCTTCGTGCTGCCGACGTCAGAAGCATTACTACAGCCTGAGAAAGCTCCGATCGAAGTTTAGAATTTGGCCTGGATATCGACAGGCTTCCCGCAGAAGCGCATCGGCAAAGGGCCCTTAAGATACTATGTTCCACACTAAAATCGAGACACGTGAATGCGATCGAGTCCGCCTCGATATTCATTTCACTATACTTTTCTCCTACATTTTTTTATTTGTTACGTTGCTTACCTCCCACACCCTCTGCATGTCGAGCATCATGACAACCATTGGACTATTGTATTGTACTTGAATACGTCGATATGCAGGTGGATAGCGACAGCAGATGAACGAACAGTCGTCTTCGTTTGCTTCCTGGACGTTTCTCGTTCTCTCTGTGTTGTTTTTATTTCGATATTATTTTTATTGTGAGCTTTATTAGTATCCAAAGACGGCGGTGGCGGCAACTGTAGCGGTGGCGCTGTTGGCACAGCTAATGCTATTGATCCTAGTGATATCACAGTCGAATAAACGTACACTTGTGGAAGGGTATTAACAACAACACATCGAGCACCGTTTCACCAATATCGCGACACATCGTATCAACGCATATCAGCGTCAGCCAGCAAAATGCTGATCGACAGAACTACAGCACACAATGAAGACGCACAAACACACACGCACACACACACACATACACACACACACACACACACACACACACACACACACACACACACACACACAGCTCACACACCCATACACACACTCACTCACTCGCACATACACACACGCACGCACGCACGCACGCACGCACGCACGTCCGCCCGCACGCACGCACGCACGCACACACACACACACACACAGCCGAGTAGGGAAACAGGGACAGACACGCACTTCTGCAGCCAAGCTACGACGACGGCGGCGGCGCTATTTCCATCTCTAATTCAGTAATGAACGATACATCGTTACACTCTTTCTCACAGGTATCCAAACGGGCGCGACGACCAGTGAACAGGCCGATAGACAGATGATAGATAATTGCGTTCTTCATTTACGCTATCCTCAAGTTAGTACACAGTTGAAACTGCGGCGAAAACGACACTATGGGGGTACTGCTGGGCGTAGGATAATAATAACTTCACAGTAGCTACAACTATGTACGCACACACGAGCGAATCTTTTGCCCCCAACTAAATCTGTCACTATCTAGTATCCTTTCGATATTATCCGCACGTATTTGGACTAATTTGCTGGCAGTGATCAGTACTTCACGTTTCAACGAAACGGAGTGTTGGAACCGCTGTTATGTCGATTTACACAAAAAACGTTCTCTTTTCCCACCAATATTCATACGGTATGCTACATCACGATGATATATCACTTTCACTTTCTGTAGTCGTCATTTAGCTAGGGTTTGTCCGTACAAGTGACGTTCCCCTATTTGTTGTACAACTGCCTGCGTCCGTGTACTGCCATCATGAAACACCTTACGAAACACACTCACTGATAAGGTACGGCCGAAGGAACTACTTGTGCTAGTCGAGTAGGAATTCGTCGATTATTATTAAATGCAGCACAGTATATACAGCTGCTTCTACTTCTGCCGCCTCAGCACCAGTATCAGCTCCAGCCTGTGGCTGGTATCGGTCGTCCTATTGCAGTTTGCTCGTATCATCATTAAACACCGACTATGGTCGGTCACACAGGGGCACAGACAGACATTCACAACCGAGGGAGGGGCATTCAGTGGAGCTGGCAGGGGCTGACTGTCTAGTACAGGTTGGCTACCGTCGCCGCTACTGACACAAAACGCGGTCGTCAGTCAAACAAACCAGTCCGTCGTTTCTCACCCGTCAGCGCTTACTACTGCTACGCTCGTTGCCGCTGTGGTTGGTGTTTGTGCTGCTGGGGACGGAGCGCTGCCACAGGACATCAAAGCAGCCCAGCACGGCATTCGGCTGCATACACCGAAACTGCTGCTGCTGCTGCTGCTATAACAGCAACAGTCCACTGCTACAGACGGTAAACCAACCAGCCGAAACAACCGACGACAATCAGTCGGCAGTAGCGGTAGTCTTCGTCGTCAGGATTGGAGGCAGGCGGCCGGCCAGACCCCGACGACTGCAGCAAGCCAGGCGGCAGGCGGCACACGTTTTAACGCTGCTGTTCTGAGCAGCTCCTCATGATGCTCGGACGACGGCCGCAGGCGTTCTGTTCAGCTCATTGCTGGTGCTGTCCTGCCCTCCCTGTCGCCGCGGCCGCTGCCGCCGCTACTGTGACGACAACGACGACGGCGGCGGCGGCGGCGGCGGCGACAACTACCACTACAACCGCACGTGAATAGCAGAGCAGCGGCGGCGCTGGTGGTGGCGGCGGCGGTGGCGGCAGCAGCAGCGGCGGCGAGGGCGAGAGAGCGATAGGAAAACGAAGAAGAAGCGGCGGCGCAGGGGTGGCGGATGAAAGAATGAGCGAGACAAAGGCCAAGCGGCCAAAGAGTGTCTGCTTTGCTGCTGGCCAACTCTGCTGCTGCTGCTGCTGTTGCTCGTAGATGTTTGCGGAGGGAGCGATAGCAAATACGATGATGATATACAGACTGTAGCGGCGGCAAAGGGCGAGAGGGAGGGAGGTAGACTACTCGACGGGGGGAGAGAGAGAATTAAAAGGGAGGCAAGCAAAGCAGGAGAATAGACAAACGACCGACCGACCGACCGACCGAATCGTTGCCAGCTCAAACCGCTGAATAGCTAACGGCTCTAGCAGTCAGCCAGCCAGCCAGCCAGCCAACGAGTGACCAGGCGCGAGCTGTGCGAGCAACCGTCGCTCGCTTAAACAGCAACCATAGCAGTGGCGACTCGTTGTCGTCGTCGTTGTCGTCATCGTCGTCGTCGTTGTTTCGAGAGGAGTTGGGCTTCGTTGGCTCCGCCCACTGGGCAGCGCCGGTAGCGGCTGCAGATTGAGACGAACGACCAGTCAACTCTCCCCGCCCGCAAGAGCGCAATATCGTCACGGTTGCCAGCAACTCACTGAGGAACAGACCCACACACAGATAGATAGGGCCAACAGCCAGACCCGTTTAGCCACTCACAACAGTTCGCTCATGAGCGGAAAACACACACACCTTACTACTCCTAACAAACATCTAGCCACGGTCGTCCCACACACGCACCGGCCTCACAGGAATACAGACGCCCTAACACACACGCACGCAAAGAGCCATAGGATACATCCATTGCATAGCCAGACAGTCTAACACAACTTTACGCACACACACAGTGTTTGGCAGCGGGATCAGCGGTTCGCTGATAGACGCACACTTCGAAACACCCGGCACTGGCTGCCACTACTGCTGCGCCGTCGCCGTACGCTACTTTCCTCTCATTCGATCATTCGTTCGTTCGTTCATTTACCCTCTCTCTCCCCGATCTTTCCCCCGCAGTTCAACGGCGGTTTCAACGGCGCCGAGCAGCAGCAGCAGCACCTTCGGTCTCCACAGGGAGTAACAGCAGCAACAGCAGCAGTCGTCGTTGTAATGGTGGTTGGTGATGGCAGGGTCGCCGCCACGACCATTTGGGAGAGGACAGACCCACGGGCAAAAAGAGTAGGCAGCCGGAACGATGGCTGCCGCAAGGTGGTGCTCCACGCGTTGGCAGACTCAACCCGCTGTTGGCTGTTAGCAAGCGCCACCGGATGAGCGCTTCGCCAACGGAGCGACACAAGCGTCCCCTGGTGCCAGAAATGATCTCGCTGCAAAAAGCAATCAACCAGCTAATGCGATGGACCATCTACATCTAGCTTAGCCATCTTGGCTGGCCGGCCGGCCGGCCTCCGGCAGCACCAGCGGCTGCGACGGCCGCGGCAGCAGCCTGCCATAACAATCATCAGCGTGCCCTGCAGCTAGAGCCGACAAATGCAGTGGCAGCGGCAGTGGCAGTGGCAGCAGTGCCAAAAGGGCCGAGATACGGAAGAAAAACAGGCCGATATGTGGTTACCGGGGCTGCGCCACTACTGCAGCAGCCCAACAAGCGTTGTCAATTTTTCGCTTGGTAACTACTGCTACAACTACTACTACTGGTAGATATTGTATAAATGTTCTATATGTTCGGCACTAGCAGTACTCAACAGTCGATGTTGTAGGGGTGCCCGTGCTGTGGCGCGCTGATTGTTACCTCCGCCGCCAGGGAGCGTCTTCGAGAAATCCGTTCGCATACAACGAAAGATAGAGCAGGACGGTATTGGCGGAGACACGCATCACCAATGCATGCTTGCTGTTTAAGGCTCAAGGCTCAAGACTAAAACACCGCCGAGTGTCCATCGGTAAGGGAATGACGGATGAGAAAGGAGCTATGCTGGGGTTAGCACGGCCGATAGCAGTAACAGCGGCTCTGTCCCCAGGGACGAAGCGGCGCTTGACTGATGCTGCAGCCTTCTCAGACCTGTAGTTTAATGCGGCTTCGGTACATTCAAGCTGCAGCTATACGAGGTTCGATAGAGTTTGAAGCAAGGACGGCTGCAGGCGAACTATAATGCCAGAAGACGTTCAACGCTACCGACGAATTCGATTGCACATTTCAACAGGACGCCACCTTTAAGCCCCATAGGTCGATAAAAAAAAAAAACCAACAAAACCTTTAATGCTATCCTTATAGGACTATGATTGAGCCCATTTAGGTATTTAAATATTAAAAAAAAAAAAAAAAAAAACAGGTATGATCTAGAAAACATCCATCCCGGTTAGATATGTGAATGAGTTAAAATTAAACTGCAACTTCCTCTTCCCAAAGCACATAAATTGGTATCTTTGAGAAAGTATTTCAACAACCGGCCGACGACGAAGTTCTTTTGTATATGGCGGCCTACAACACTGATGCTATTACAATATGAATCGGTATCAAGCGCATAACTATGACAATATTCATTTTCTATAATTTTATTATGGCTCTTACTGTTAGTCCTAGTTGCACATTGTCGGTGTTTCGTGCCGGCCTTGCGTCCGGTCGCTTAGACTGGGCAGCGTTCTCAGACTGGCGGCCAAATCGAGCCTTCCAAGCCTTTGGGTCTTGCTCGGCTGCCCATCATTATTTCTTTGCATGTCAAATTGATGATTTTCTCGTTGGTCATTAGGACATTCCGGCGATCATGTGACCATGCTGCTGATGGCGCTGATCAGCATGATCACATTCATCATCAGCATCACCACCGTCGTCCTCTTGGCCCAGTGCCTGTTCTTTTGCGGCTCACTCGCGTTCGTTTGCCTGTGCTGCTGTTGCTAATGGTAGCGATGGTGTTGACGATGATCGTGATGATCTCGTTCGTTCGTTCATTCGTTCGCTCGCTCGCTGGCTCCCTCCCTTCGTCCAGCATTCGTGAGCAGCCAAGCGGCCAAAGTCTCGCTGCAGCGTGCGCCGCGCCATATCTCGTGCTTTCGCTTCTCTCTCCCTTTTATCCTTCGCCCTTCCTATTGGCGTTGTGACGAACGATGAGACGTTAGACTAGCTAGTGGCCGGCGGTCGGCCAGTGTCGTAGGACTAACTGAACAACCCCCGAAGCCTTGGCTGACTTGAACTTCGCTCGGGGTTCTCCTCTCCCGTGGTGGCGGCGGCGGCGCCCTTCATAGACCGCCCGCCAGCCAGCCAGTCAGGCCGCCAATAACCCACGAAGAGGCGACGATCGTACGCGATGCTCATTGGCCACGGCGACCATCAGCGACTGACAGACAATGACTGGTCAGCAGTAACAAACTGCCACAGGCTGCCACCGAATCGACGCGGTTGTGGCCACAGCAGCCACGGAGCATCTGCGGCTGCTAGCGGCGGCGGCGACGACGGCGACGGCGACGGCGACGGCGGCGGCGGCGGCGGCGGCGGCGGCGGTGGACGACCGTGGGGCACCGGCGAAAACACTAACAACGCAGTGGTGAAGCCAACACAAGCACTACTAGCGTCATCCAGTACCATTACTAATTTTACTAGAGCGGCGGGACGGCACCCAAGCTGCCGCTGCCGCTGTTGATTGCTGAACTTCAACCGTTGCGAGCACCCCGCTCCGAGAAGTATGAACGGTTTCCTCTGAAGTAAACCGTTATTTTAGGCTGATGATGCACACACAGCTTTTCTCAAATTCGACCATTCTTTAGCCGTATGCGACCGAAAACGCTTCACCAGAAGCGGGCCATTATATACATGTCATATGTGTGCGAAAGGTGCACGTGTGTGTAATGTTGGTAAGTATGGTGCAACGTCAACGAGCGAAAAGCTACCGGAAAACTTCTGATGATATTAAGCTCGTATAAATCGTGCGTGCGCTACGCCAGGTTTGTTTGTGGTCTTCTTAATCTATTTGTCTGCATGCTGCACGTTTGAGCCTTCGAGAAGAGTGTATATGTGGGTGTTATAGGCATTGATCCACAGTAAACTGAAAAGACGCAGTATAATCAACGGCACAAATAAGCACTAGTGAATATTTAATCCAAAGAAACTTCTAACTTTTTCGATTCCTCTCTCTTCTTACGTGACTGTCTAGTTCTTCCCCAGACGGAAGGAATCATCAGCGGGGTCGTGAATGCCTTAAAGACACCAAGCACATAAAGAGCGGAGCTGAGAAAAGAGACAAAACAGACTGTTCCGATCTTTTAAACCCAAACCAACTTATCCACCCCTGATGCAGCTTCTTTGTTATGGGTCTCTCTCTACCGTAGTTCTTGGGACGCTGGGACTTTTCTGACGGTTCAATAAGTAGATAGCAATAACCATTTGAGCTGCTGAGTCGTTCTAGCTGCGGGTTTACTTCAGTCTCTCTGTACCCTGTCCATGTTGACCGAACTGAAGCTGCCGTCATCAGAAGCGGTCACAACAAACAATAACAACAAGTATAACGAACGGCGAACCCAAAGCGGTTGGGGCAGCCGAGCTAGCGAAAACAACAATAGCCAACATATGTATAAGGTATTATTAATTCAGCTTTGATTGATCGATCGATCGGTCGATCGAGCGAGCGAACGAACGGTGATGGTTCGAATATCACCGGTATTTATTTTTTGTTTTATCTGCCCTTGTCTGTCTTATCCCCATCTTGATACGGTTCAAGAACAATCTGTGTACGCGTATACATTTAACGTCAACCATCTGCAAATTCTTGTAACTTTTCCGTCCACTTAAGGCGTCGTTACAGTCTTAAAGTTTAACCCTTGCTAAACGCTATCAGTTAGCATGAGTGTGTCTAGTGTTTAGTGGAACTTGATTGCAATGCTTTTGCCGCAGGCTAAAACATACCGACGCTGGCGCAATGCGTTTTCTTCTCATTTCTATAGTCAAGCTGTCATTGAGCAGCAACACGCTTGCGACGGCATCGCCGAATATCATCTATATGTCGCTCGTGTCCATTTCCAGCAAATCATATTTACTCTTAATAGGCAACGCCGTGTCTCGTTCACCGACGATCGTTTTCCTCCATTGAATACACAATTTTGGCCGCCTGGTTACTTTACCGTACCACAAGCCGTTATCGGTTGTAAGCGTCGAACATCCGGTTGAATGGGCCACTGCGATTCGCTGCTTTAAACCTAACCATTGGAATATACTACTACATAATAATAATTATTTATATATATGTATGATTGAAATGAACAAAAATTGATTATGGTTGAGATGTCGTTGTTGTTGTTTATGATAATGGTGGTTTCAGTCACTACTAAAACAATGTTAAATGGCACGTGGCGCCACAGTAGCACCAACATCGCGGTTTCGAAGACTGGGACGATGACAACGATTGGCGCGCCACCAAAAAAGTAGTGATAGGGGTTTTACGGGCCCTGATATGTCTTTCTGTTCTGTTAGTAATGGTTCTATACACACGTATATAATCTCTTGGCCATCTCACATATTGCCACATCGATCCTGCACAAGACAGGCCAAAACAGTTCTTCTGATGATGGCGTTTCTGCTGCGGACGCTGTTACTAAAAGAAGGCTATGTTTGCCTTTATCCATCTATCCACCTGTGCGTGCCCGTTCGTTCACGACTATCTGCAGACGTGGACACTGTGTAGGTCTACATGTAATTCAGAATGGTTATCCCATCGATTTCCTGAATCAACGACGTAACAGTGCTGTACAGAGATCTGATTGGGTGACAATGACATGCGTAATCATGAATACCTTATGTAGAATATCTTTAAGCACGTCTTATACACTCACGATTGGGTATCAGTCCATGCGTCTGCCCGTATACGTTCCTCTTAAGTGGTGGTAGTGAGAGCATTTGATGGCTTCTAACGTAAATAGAGAGATGGCTGGAGGAATCGGGGCCTATTTCTCCAATCTAACGTCAATAATGCAACTGCTACGGCCCTCTTCTCTGCCGCCGATACACCTCTACCTATTTTCTTCTAAACCTCCGATATTGACATCACGATCCAGTAGCATGATGGCGATGATGATGATCGTGATACCGGTACGGCGTTGCTTACCGCCATTTCTGTGAACACAGCAGAGATGACGGTAGGTAACGCCGACGGCGCTATCGGGTCTGATCGACATTACGACAATGGCTCCACTCCAGTCTGCTGGTGCTGCGGCTGCGCGACAGCCGCCATAGCAGTTCCCGGGGCTTGGCACCAACCAGAGCCATCGCGGTTCTGTCGCTGGCAGTCAGTCCCCAGTCGTTAGCGCGAATGGCCACAGACCCATAGATACACTACAATTGAAAGCACCACTGCTGATATCATCGTTCTGATCATCAACGTAACGACACTTGACGCTGTTGCCACTGCAACAGCCGATGCTGTTGTCGCTCGTACAAGCCCTTGTTGTCACTGTCGTCTGTCCTAAGCCAGCAGCCAATCAGCTGATAGTTCTCTTCACCGTTGTCACTAACAGCAGCTACAACGGCAGCAACATAACGGTGGCGGCAACAGCACCCGTGGCCGCAGCTGGCAGCCATCTGCTATTGAAGACGATTGCAACCAATGACAGGAAACTTCGTCTGCCGCCACTGCCGCTATCCTCAGAGCCGTTACAACCACCATCGCCACCATCATGGAGTGCAGACAAGCAACGGTGAGCGGTCGTTCGACGGTGCGAGGGAACAGCTCGAGTGCTGGCAGCATCGATGTCGGCTATTCAATGGCAATCTCGCATCGACGATCACGCTCGAACCGTAATCGTGCCATAATCACTTATCATAGTCATAGTTTTTGCCTTAACGAAAATGCAGTAATTATTATCGTTTTCAAACCATTTAATACTTTTTTGGCTGTAAATCTGGCGGATCGACGGGCAGTGGATAGGCATAATCTCTAATTCAAATTTCAATTATACATTAGAAGCGCTGCGACTCTGGTCTCGAACGAATGACCAACAGATGAGATTTCTGTACAAATGATGTTGCATAGACATTTGTTCCCACAACTAAATTCCGGACCTAGCTGTACTCACTACAACATAGGTTCTGCACAGAGATAGCAAATAATCATTAGCGGCCTTCTTACAGGTCCTAATAGTTTCGTATAAATCTCATTCAACTTCCATCATTGACGATTCATCTTGCTTCTTCTTCATGTTCCCTCTTCGTAAACTGTAAGCCAGAACTTTTCTTTCGAATATTCCCTTTGATAAAACCATTATACAACTTCATCCCCAGCAGTCACATTCGTTTCCTATTACCGTTGACTGCTGTCTACATAAACATGACCGAATACCGAATCGTGGCTTCATTTTACTAACCACTTTCCCTTCAACTTTCGTTGCCATGGTGATCATCACCACCGTAAACATGACTGCAAGCATCGGTGCCATCATCATCATCATCCACCAGCATCATTACTTTTCTCATCGTCATCTTCATTATTACATATCACCGCGTATCTATTAGACGCTTTGACTTACATTTTACCCCCGCCTAGCCTTTATTTATTTTTGTACGTTTTGCTTGCTCCGTGTTGCTAAGCGGTGCATCTCGTTTCGTCCAGTGTCGTATACACCTTCACTTGTTCGCCGGTATCATCATCCTCAATCGACGATGCTGCTGGCCGATTACGCTAGCCACGAACTGGCCGCATCGTGCGGAGCCATGAAAGGACATTGCCAGAGTTTGGTTTGTGTTCGCGAAGACAGAGCGCCAGTAAGAGCATAGCAGAAGAAGCACGAAAAAGGAAACGAAGAGACAGAAAAGCAGAAAGAGGACAAAGCCTCATATCCGCTTCGCTTTGATACCAGCGAATCAGTGCCCGCACCAGGCCGATGAAAGGCCCGCGAGAAAGCGGGAATAGAGGGAGCTTCTTCAAAGTCAACTATATGAACAAGTGTCACGTGTCTGTCTGCATGTTTATGTGTGCATGTGTATGATAGAGTGTTTGTGTGTGTGTGTGTGTGTGTGTGTGTGTGTGTGTGTGTGCGTTGTGGCCTGTACGCTGTTGTCCGTTCCTGAGCCTTTCGCAGCGACGAATTTTTGATTGAGATAGATTCTGATTGGTTTGCTATCTGTGGTCCTGTATGACGACGGCCTGATTGTTCACTGCTTGATTACCACTGTAACTGGATTCGATGACGCCTTACGACCCTTCAGCGGAATAAGATTGTCCGTAGTTCGATAGATCCGTCTAGATGTAAATAAGTTACTTTTCCTTGTGTACTTCGAAATTGAGCCGACCGCGCATCTCCAAAACTTTCTAACACCGGCACAACATTCATTATACACGCATACTTCTCTAGCTATCATATAAAAAAGGCAAACCATTACGAATAGTCTCGCGGCTCAACGATAGCGAACCATGCATATCGCACTATTTATCACACGACAATAAATAAAATTAACGATATCTATCGAGGACGAAGGCAAAGTTGTTGCTTCGGTTATAGGCAGCAGTACCACGTGGTGCTTGGTTTCTGTTTCAGAAATCCCTTACGTCATTAGGCAACGACGATAAACCGAGGCGCAGAACGCGGCCAAGTAAACGTCGTACGCTTGCTTTCTGAGCGCAAATGCAGCAAATGGCTGTAATAACGCGCGTTACAGCCGGCTATCCTACCGATCGGAACCAGGCCTGACCTCTGGCTGGCGCGATGGTGAATGCTAAATTTCGCCTTTCGACGCGTCTAGGCTCTAACACTAGGTTGAATAGACATAAGTGTACAATTCGACAAAGTTGTATAATTATATGGGTACATCGGAGCAACTCTACGAACGCTAGTATCGTTATAATGACTGACGTAACTGACTAGCCGGTCAGTGGTCGACGCACAAAAAAAAGTACCAGATAGCTAGAGACAAGTTATTGTCCATCAACCCTGCTTCTAGACAGACACATCATCAATTA